AAAATATTAAAAGGGTGGGGAAAACCAACCATGCTAGGTAGTCATGAAATGCTTTTTGGCTATTGCATGGAAATCTAAAACTATGTAAGAAGAGGAGTGATATAGGTATAACGCAAGCATGTATGTATCGCTGATTAAACAATTATCAAGAACCATCTGTGTTACAATGACTTGTTATCTGTTTTATGATTTTCCAGAGATTTGACTGGAAAACAAGCTGGGAATCTGAATAATTCTGGGGCTAAGAGGGTTACTTAACTCTCTTTGAACTAAGATTACTGTCTAGATGATGGACTGAGATAGGCAGGCAATGAAACTGCAAGTGTACTGATAAGATTAATTCCAAGTGAGAAACATTGTGAGTCAATTTAAAAGGTAAATTGACTCACATTAAGTCTAGTTGTGTCCGAGTTCTGGGAGGTGGTGCTCATCTCAATTTCTAAGCCAAAGAGCCACCATTTTCCACAGACACCTCCAAGGTCATGTGGCCGGCATGACTGCATGGAGCGCCATTACCTTCCCACCTATTGATCTCACATTTGTATGTTTTTGAACTGCTAAGTTGGCAGAAGCTGGGGCTAACAGCAGGAGCTCACCTTGCTCCCCAGATTCGAACTATCGACGCTCTGATCAGCAAGTTCAGCAGCTCAACGATATAATCCACTGCGGGCTTCGGTGTCAATTTAGTAGGAATATATTTTTTAAAAGAAAGAGTTCCATATTAAAAATAGAAGAGACAATTGGAGAGCATCCAAAATAATCAATAAGAAAAAAGGGATACATTTTTAAAAACAAATCATCATAATTGTCCAGTTGTTTCCAAATCAAACTGGTGAACTATGCCCATTTCTCTTTTTTTTAGTTCTCTTCCACCTTTACTTTGCACCTTTGAAAGGTGATACAGAATTAGAACCATTGGGTTTAAATAAAAATAAACTGGGAATGTAAAGAATACTGAACAAGAAGGGAGTCTCGGCAAACCTTTATTGCCAAAAATTCACTTGCGCAAATTTCCCTCTTTCTCTGAATGAAAAACATATGCAGAAAACAAGTGTATAAATGCATAAATGACTTTTTTTAAAAAATGAAGGTTGCAAAGTGTGAAAAAATCATAGAAAATACACAAAACCTCTATTGACCTTATCCAGTGCAGTGAACCTTTTTGAAATTATTTCTTCTGGCATGTATGAAATAACAATGAAATAGGTGAAGACATTTATTTTATCAGAGAACCAAGTAATCATGTTTTTGGTTGGATACACAAGGAAGAAATTTCCCAAACAGGTGATAAAAATGTCATCACAGGTCATTTGAGATGGAATTGAAACTTTGTGCTCTTCTCAGAAGCCTAGATGTGATACTCACTAAGTTGGGTCAAGAAACTGAAATGGATCATTGGGAAAGGGTATATATAAGAAAACTGGGTGATTTATATATCATTTTTAAAAATCCCCCAAGTATTGTGTGTGTGTCTGAGTGTGTGTATGTATATGCATATCTGTGCTAAGTAAATTGAAGAACTGACCTCCTCAGGAGAGAAATATATATGACATTTATGTGATTGCTGCATGAAGGTATGGAGCATAACTTCAGCAGATATATAACTTATGGAGAATGACTTTAGTGGTTGGTAGAGGTTAACTACTTCCACCTGGAGGGAATGGGAGAAAGTAGTAATAAATCCTCTTACTATAACTTGGGTAAGATTCATCAAAAACTTGGAATCAATGAAGGAAAACAGAAGTGCAGCACAGAGATTGTTTTAGATCATTTGACCAGTTTGTAAAAACAATGCAAAGGTTCCTGGTGAATGTGAAATATTTTAATAAAGACTGTTTAACATTTTTTTTTGGCATACCATCTGAGCTGGAGATGGAATTGCCTTCAAAATTACCCACAACAACCCTTGCCTTTAAGCTATAAAACTCTATGTGGCTTTGCTCCAATGTTCTACTATGACCTTATATGTGACTTTCACAATTGTTGTTTTGCTAAGTTTCCACAAATAAAATAAAGATGTTTTGTTTATTCTCTCCCTGGATGCAAAGAGTGGACACTGACATCTCTTAATTGTCCCTTGTCAGTTCCAGTCTTGTTCTTCATTTAAGCTGCATGGGAGAAAAGGTGGAATGGATGGAAGGATGTCCTCACCCTCCCAATCAAATCCAGAAAAAATAATTTATTTTCCTGATCCCAGCAGACACCCTAGAAAGTTGATACCATCTCTTGGGTTTTCATTCTGTTGATATAATTTTCCATAAGAGAAACCATATAAATAAAGGTTTTCCAAGGATCCCAGTTATCAACAGGTATTGCTAGATCTTGCAGACTCAAGCTATGGCTTTCTTTGATTGATGAATTTATTTCATCAATCCAACTATGCAGTCTTCCTCTTTTTCTTATGATTTGATGAATATCATTGTCTTTTCCATTCAGTCATGTTGTCATGATCCATCCAAAGTACAATAACATCAATTTAATCATTTTGACTTCTGAGAATCCAAATGTGGTTTACTTTAAGACCCATTAATTTGTCTCTTGGACATTCCATGATATTTGCAAAACTCTCTTCCAGCACCACATTTCAAATGAGTTAGTTCTCTTTTATAAAGAAACTAAAATTTATTTATCGTGTCATCAGCAACCGTACCATTGTGTTACAATTCTAACAGAACAAAACAAACACACAGATTAAAAAGAAAGAGGGGGGGGGGGAACCCCCAAGAAACACAGATTTTGCAAACTTGGTAGTTGGTTAAATGTCCTTTGACCAGTATCTGGCCACTTGGAGTGCCTCTGGTGTTGCCGCAAGAAGGTCCTCCATTGTTCATGTGGCAGGGCTCAGGTTGCATTGCAGCAGGTGGTCAGTGGTTTGCTCTTCTCCACACTCGCATGTCGTGGATTCCACTTTGTAGCCCCATTTCTAAGGTTGGCTCTGCATCTCGTGGTGCCAGAGCGCAGTCTGTTCAGCGCCTTCCAAGTCGCCCAGTCTTCTGTGTGCCCAGGGGGGAGTCTCTCACCTGGTATCACCCATGGATTGAGGTGCTGGGTTTGGGCCTGCCACTTTTGGACTCTCGCTTGCTGGGGTGTTCCAGCGAGTGTCTCTGTAGATCTAAGAAAACTATGTCTAGATTTAAGTCGTTGACGTGCTGGCTGATACCCAAACAGGGGATGAGCTGGAGATGTCTCTGCCTTGGTCCTTTCACTATTGGCTGCTACTTCCCGGTGGTTGTCAGGTGGTGCAATACCGGCTAAGCAGTGTAATTTCTCCAGTGGTGTGGGGCGCAGACACCCTGTGATAATGCGGCATGTCTCATTAAGAGCCACATCCACTGTTTTAGTGTGGTGAGTATGCATGCATACTCAGCAGCAGAGGAGCATAGCACAAGGGCAGATGTCTTCACTGTGTCTGGTTGTGATCCCCAGGTTGTGCCAGTCAGCTTTCGTATGATTGTTTCTAGCGCCCACTTTTTGCTTGATGTTCAGGCAGTGCTTCTTGTAGGTCAGAGCACGGTCCAAAGTGACTCCCAGGTATTTGGGTGTGTTGCAATGCTCCAGTGGGATTCCTTCCCAGGTAATCCTCAGAGCTCGGGATGCTTGTCTGTTCTTAAGGTGAAAGGCGCATGTCTGTGTTTTAGATGGATTAGGGATCAGTTGGTTTTCCCTGTAATAGGCAGTAAGAGCACCTAGGGCTTCGGAGAGCTTCTTTTCAACCATCTCAAAGCTCCCTGCTTGAGTTTTGAGATGGTTGAAAAGAAGCTCTCCGAAGAAACTAAAATACTGTGGCATGGATACTTCTGGCTTTGGTTTTTAATGATATTTCTTTGCATTTGAATATTTGCATTTGAATATAAGATTATCCCATTCACACCTGTGGAAAAAATATATGGTGACTTGAAAATAATATGTGGTCTTCTATTAGGAGGGCTATTAATCTAAAGATTTAGAAAGTGACACACCAAAATGAGAGCAAGAAGCTTAAAATTGGCTACGGAAGAATGATCTGGCTTCTCCAGAAGTCACAGGATATTCAATATTAGTGAGATATATTGCATTTTGACATTAAAGCTACTAATTCTACCTAAATGTACTTCAATGGACATATATACAAATGCTCTGTCTTCAAAATTACACACCACTCTTTCTCGCTCTCCATATATTAAAAAAAATGTTATACACATCTGTTCTCTTCATTTTGGTAGTCATAGAATCATAGAGTTGGAAGAGACCTCATGGGCCATCCAGTCCAACCCCCTGCCAAGAAGCAGGAATATTACATTCAAAGTACCCCTGACAGATGGCCATCCAGCCTCTGTTTAAAAACTCCCAAAGAGGGAGCCTCCACGACACTCCGGGGCAGAGAGTGTATGAGAAGCCACCATGATCACATCAACACAAAACGTTGACAATACATACAACATCCAATTTCGGCATATCCTTAAACTAGAGCATGGAAAAAAAATTGAATTTCATCTGCCAGAATCAGACTGACCATACTGACTGGAAAATTTAGTGGATTGTAGGCCTTAAAAATAAACTTTTCTGAGTAATGTCCTGAATTCATCTTGTAGATGTATTGGTGTGTGCTTTTGAGTTGTTTCTGGCTTTTGGTGACTCTGAGATGAATCTCGTACAGGGTTTTCTGGGGTTGAGCGTGAGTAACTCATCCAGTGTCACCCAGTGAGTTTCTCTGCTGAACAAGAAATTGAATCCTTGTCTCTAGAATCATATTCCAACACATAAACTCAACTTGAAGATCAACAAGGAGCAAATGTATATCAATTCCATAACCAACAAATTATGTTAAAATATCCTTCTTTTGAAACAATGCTCATGCCAGCTACATTAGAATTAATACATTAATTACTGAATGATAAGTCAACATTACAGCAAATTCTGTTGATTCAATGAATTGAGTCTAGCTGTGATGAACACAAATGGGCTAGTATTTTAAATTTCTCAGCAACCAAACTTAAAGTACTGTGCTTTCTTTCTTGCAGACCATGATATCCAGGGAACAGAACCCACAAAACAGCAATACACATAAGGTGTGCACCCTTGGTTCATGAGATCAGCTTATGAGGAGTCCAGTGCAGCCACTGAATGTAGCAGTGAGAGCTGAATAATCAACTGAAGTCTCCAAAGGTAACATGTTTTTAAGTTCTTCTCTCCTAATTAGACAGGTAAGATGGATAGAGCTGAAAAACATTTCCTTACTCTTGAATATTTTGTGATTTCTGGGAGGTCTGGTTTTATTACATGATGTTATCATTTTTAATCAGAGATGGCAGTGAATGCAACTAAGACATCCCAGGGGTACATTCCTGCTTTTAGGAACGCCTCTCTGCAGCCTTCTCAGGGACATTGTTTTTTGTTTTTGTTTTCTTTAGGCCACACTGCTTCAAAAAAGCAATGAAGGTGGGGACTTATGGCTATGTTGCAGAGAGAAATTGTTAATAAATAAAGGAAAAAGTCTACCTGGCCTCACTGGAGCCCCATTTATTTCATCTGAGATGCTTTGTTAGCTAATGGGATTTTCTCATCCTATTGCATACCATCGAAGAGGGATATCTCTGCACTGTAGTGTCAAGAACTTATGGTCAAGTTTTTAGTGTGTCATGATTAGAGTATTTATTGCATTGAGAACATGGTTTTGGTCTTCAGGAAAAAGACAGTTGACCATCTTCTATCCTTTTCGTTCATTATTAAATCACCTACTGATATCAGTGGCATGAATATGCTCATATTTCTCATACCCAAGATGTTTTCCTGCTTCAGGTGGAGTAGAAATTTTCCCCTTAATCTTTTCACTTTTTTGAGTACAAGGTGATTTGTATACAAATGTTAGTTTGGCACCTGAGGCAGAAAATCCTAACACTTGTTATGAGTTGACACAATAACTGTAACAAACAGAGAAATCCCATGTTCCTCAAACTTGACAGGGAACCTAACCCATGAGTTTAGACTGTTCATAACATGAGATCAATCTGCTCAGTTCTGGGGTTCTTTTATTGCTTATTTTGTTACATTGTAGTAAAGTTCTCTGGTGTAAACTATTTTAATGTAAGTGCAAAGAACCATTCAGGATGGAATGGGAAAATAATTGGATGGGGAGTTGGGAGGTGAATGTTTAATTCCCCACTCAGACCTGAAATTAATTGGATGTCCTCAGAGCAGCCATCACCTCTCAACCTGATCTATGAGTGCTTCTACACAGTAGAATCAATGCATGTTGATACTACTTTAACTGTCATGGCTCAATGCTATGGAATCATGAGAGTTGTAATTGTGCTGGGAGACTTCAACATCCACGCTGAGCCTGCCCTGTTGGGAGTGGCTGAGGACTTCATGGCCACTATGACAACCATGGGTCTGTTCCAATTGGTGTCTTCCCCTACCCATGCTGCTGGACACACTTTGAACTTTGTTTTCTCTGCAAGATGGGATGTTGGTGATTGTGATGTGGAGGAACTTGTCAAAGTTCTCTTGTCATCACTACCTGGTCAGGTTTAGATTTTCTGGGACTCCAAACCTCTGCAGGGGTGGGGAACCATTTAAGGTGGTCCACTCCAAGAGGCTTATGAATCTGGATGGACTTCTGAGGTCTCTTCGGGATTTTCCTGTTACTTTGATAGGCAATGCTGTCAAAGTTCTGGCTGACCTCTGAAATGGAGAAATTACCAGGGTGGACCCTATTACTCCTTAATGTTCCCTCTCACGGTAAAGAGCCAGATCAGTCCTTTGGTTTTTCAAGGAGCTGGCAGCGATGAAGTAAGTGAGACAGAGACTAGAGCAATGTTGATGGAAAACTCAAAGTGAATCTGACCAAGCATGGACTAGAACGTATTTGAAAATCTACTCCACCATTGCATCTGCAAGGAACTGTCCAGCTGAGCTGTTTCACATGGTCAGAGGGCTATTACATACTGGTCCTCAAGGAGTATCTCTGACCATTCAGCAGCTCACTGTGATGAATTTGCACAACAATTTGCAGATAAAATCTGTTCTGTCGCGGATGCTGTTATTGATACAGTTCCAGTGGGTGCAACTTTGGCTTCTGCTTGTCCAATGTTGATGGATACCTTTCAATTTTTGCAGCCTGAGGATGTGGACAGGATTATCAGAGAGGTGAAAGCTACCATATGTATTCTAGATCCTGGCTCTTCCTGGCTGATCAAACAGACCAGAGGGAGACTGGCAGAGTGGTGGTCAATGTTGGAACAAGGCAAAGTTTCAACTTGCCTAAAGGAAGCCATTGTGAGACCTATATTTAAAAAGAAAATCCTGAGATAGCTTAACTTATGGTCACTATTTAAAGTACAAAACAAAAACATTAATCATAAGGAACAACTTTAGGGAGGATTGGAACTATAATGGTGAGCAATGGTTTTTCAAAATGATTTCCCCAGTGGTTTATAATAGAAATGTAAATGATAAGTTTCCTAAATAGAAAATTTGTTTTATATCTGCCTCCTAATTACCACTTCTCAAATGGTCTCATTTAAACAGGCAAGATAGGAGGAAAACAAGGTATTGGAGAAGAACAAATTTTGGTTAGAGTCACAAAGAAGGTCAACAGTAGCATGGCAATCACAATTCCCATAAGCTGACCTAAGTTACCATTCAGTTAGCAACTTGTTCACATCTCTTGATATCAGTAAATCTGCCAAGCTGACCTCTTCGCCATCATCTGACTTTCTTTAACTTTTCATTCCGGGTCAGACACCCTGAAAATCAGAGAAGAGTATTTAGGAAGCTGGACTCAACAAAACCCTTCCATGTTATGGAAAGCATGGGTCTTTCTAGCCATCAAGAAAGACAGCAAATGTAATTCATTCATTTTTTTAAAAACACAAGTCAATATCCAATTTTTAAAAGAACATATATGTTGTTTTTTAAAAAAAGATGTATTGTTACAAAGAATGAGAAAAAGGAAATGGGAAAAAAGAAGGGAACTGCATAGATGTGAACATTAGTTTGGCATAAATACCAGTTATTCCTGATACAGGGATTAATTAATATGATTCTATGATTCTAAGTATTATTAACAGTAATTCCAAACTCTACTGAGCAGTACACATTTTCTGGAGTCTGGACAAAGAAGTTTTTCATTTTCAATTTTCACATAATTTAGGAAAACATAAAACTCACTCCTCCAGAGCCATTCATTTGTTTTATGACTTAATTCAATACAACATGTATCTCAAAGATTACATGAAATAATATGGTGGCTGCTAGGCTTTGTTTATGCTAAATATTGGAAACCAGATATCTTTCCCAGCAAAGCAGAATTTATCCCAAAAAGGTTTTGAAATGCTGCTGATAGTCAAGTTAGCAGTCTAAAATTAGTAATCGCCAGTCAGCCTTCTTGAACCAATGAAATATGTCTGAAGTTATAATTAGATAAAGGTAAACATTTCCCCTGACAGTGTCTGACTCTGGGGGGTGGTGCTCATCTCAATTTTTAAGCTGAAAAGCCAGCATTGTCTGTAGACACCTCCAAGGTCATGTGACCAGCATGACTGCATGGAGCGCCATTACCTTCCTGCAGAAACGGTAGCTATTGCTCTACTCACATTTGCATGTCTTTGAACTGCTAGGTTGGCAGAAGCTGGGCCTAACAGCGGGAGCTCACCCCACTCCCTGGATTCGAACCACCAGTCTTTCAGTCAGCAAGTTCAGCAGCTCAGCGGTTTAGCCCACTGCACCACCAGGAAGCCGAAGTTATAATTAGACAGGTGCAAAATTGTATGTACAGTTAGGGCTGAGGAATTAAATAAACATCCTACCCATATTCATGGGGAGAAGACTAAGGCTGAAGGACCAAGAGAAGAAAGTACTGATAGTACAGAGTAAAATTTTATGTCAAGATAATATCAATTGTGTTTACTGTATACATTGGAAAGAAATCTTTTTTGGGGCCAAAAAGGTGAGAACCCAGTTTGGTCAGGTGTAAGGGGTTTGCATTGCATTGTTGGCAGAAGCTAAGGGCATAATCCTATCTTCAATTTACTCAAAAGTTTGATAACATTTTAAAATGTGTTGGGGGAGAGAGGATAACTTTTAATGTCTTCTCCCTCCTCGTGGGGAATATTGCAATTTTTATCTTGTAATAAAATTAGAGAGAGAAAGGCACAAAGTCTTAACTGAATTAAAATGAAACTTGGAACTCACAAAAATGACCTCACCCTAAGTTTCACTAGTTTATCAATAGGTTAAGGTACATTTACTCATTCATTCATTTTAAAGATGTTGTAGGTCTTTGTTCAGAAGAACAGCAGAATGACTTGAGTCCTATTTATACTGCCATATAATGCAGTTTCAGAATGCAGTTTAAATGCATTGAACGGCCATATAATGCATTTCGATCCAGTTGAACTGTGTTCTGAAACTGCATTATGTGGCAGTGTAGATGAGGCCTCAGCTGCTTTACTAGACCAAAATGAATAAGGTTTATGGATTTTTACTCACCTACCTGTAGTGACTGAAAAAGAAAGACAAGCACATCTCTTTCTCCCTGTGACCCAGGTGTTTGGAACAAAAATAAGATAAAATTGATTTGCTTTTGTATATGCCCAGCGTTATTGACTTCTGTTCCAATTGCCTTAGGTAGAAAAAGAGATGTATTACTTCCCAAGTTGCTGCTTTTCTCCCTGGAACATACCAGTAAACACATAGAAGAACAAAACACCAAGGACGAGGAAGCAACACTTGGAAATTGCTTTAAGATACAGGACAATATATTTCTACTAGATATGAAATCAGCTGTAAGATTTTGTATGGATGCCAGTTCAGGGGCCCTTCAGCAGAGGTGAGATGTGCATCAACTCAGTGAAGCAGATATGCTTCCCAGCCATCTGAATATCTGAACCACATGGTCATAGCACTGTGGTTCCGTTTCGTCTGCCATGGTTGCATCCCATGAAGTCCTGGGATCTGCAGTTTAGTGGTGCATTAGAGTTCCGGCTGAAAATTCTAAATGCTATACCTCCCTTAACTGCAAACTCCACGATTCCATGTGGAAGAAGGAGTCAAATCTTCTGAAGTTAAATCTTAGTGTTATTATAGCATAGTGTGAAAGGGACTCAGACAACATCCCAGTATGGCTTGGTTCAGTCTGTATCTGGATCTCGATTGGCAAATCAAAGTCCTCATCCCTCCTTTTAACCATCTTTGGAAATCA